CATTGCGAAAAACGTCATTTTCACCTATTTTTAAATTAAAATGACCAATATACACTCCTATATAAATAAAACAAAACCAAAAAGAAAAAAAAATAAATTGCAATCTTACTCCTAAACTTTTTAAAAAATACAAATGAGTCCAAAATTTATGAAAATATTAAAAATAACAAAAAAACTCTTTCTCCATTCTCCTCCGCTTCATCCACCGCCGCCGTCGCCGCCATCACTGCCAAGACCATTGGAATTTCACCCCTTTATTTTGACTCTAAAAACAATTGACTCCAAAATTTGGCTCGGACTTTTTCTCTCTTCTCTTCGTGGTGTGTGAGGAACGACATTTGACTCCAAAATTTAGCAAACGAGGACTATAATCACAGCAATTGAACAATTACTCAATGTTGTTTGAGCCTGAATTTGAGTTTTCCCAAGTTGATTCGTATGTTGGGACACAATTGAGCCATGAATGGATAGAATAATTTCCCTTTCGCGCGGACGAACAGTTCGTCATATCAATCCAAAATTGTTTCATTTAGCCGATGAATTGAAGCAATTGAATCCTTACCTAGGGCCATTTTACCTTTAATTACATGTTGGTTGATGCAATTTGTAGATTGGAGTTGTGGAAGGATGCCAATTGAAAGGGGATCCGACAGATTTTTAACGCGCGTGCATTGTCAAGTGCGGTTCTTCCATTTTTGGGCAACTTTGAAGATAGGTGCATTAGGTGTGCCTTGAGTAAGCAGTGCTAGGGGAGGTGGACCGCAGTTGTGGGTCTTAACACCGACGCCGAAAAATGAGTTTGAAGTGATCGAATTCCCTGTTGAAGAGAATGGCTGTAGATTCTGATTTTCAGCTTTGTTTGATGTTATGAACACATCTGTAGGAGCGTAATGAGAGTTCAATTGCAAAGGGGTGAAATTTCGATGGTTTTGGAGGCGGCGATGGTGGTAGTGGAGTCGGAGGAGAAGAGGGAGATAGTTTTTTTTTTTTAATAATATTTTCATAAATTTTGGAATCATTTGCATTTTTTCAAAAGTTTAGGAGTGAGATTGCAATTTATTCTTTATTCTTTATTTTTTTTTATATAGGAGGGTATATTGGTCATCTTACGTTAAAAATAGGTGAAAATGATGGTTTCCGCAATGAAACGTTGAAATAGGGGTGAAAATGCAAAAAATTGAAACGTATGGACGTTTTGTTCACTACATGCCAAACGTAGGGACATTTTGTGCTAGTAAGCCACTTAAATATTTTAAAGTGTAACCTTTGCATGAGCTAGATGCAATTTAGTTTAGAGTTAAAGACGAAGTGAATCGTGCAAA